GGTGAGCGACCAAGTTTTAGCGATATGTCTATGCATGGTTACGTAGTGAAGTCTTTGTGGAATCAGTTTTCTAGACTTGCTATAGAGAATGGATTGCTCATGCGCAAGTGGACTCTGCTTCGTCCCAACAAAGAAGTTTATCAAGCTATCATACCAGACCAAGAGCGCAGACGCGTCTTGGAAATGTGTCATGATAACCAGACGTCAGGACACTTGGGGGTTAACAAAACGATAGCTAAGATACGGCAGAGATATTACTGGCCTGGATTTCAAAAAGATGTCTACCAGTATGTTACAGGTTGTGACAAGTGTACGAGACGTAAAAATCCAAACCCTAAACAAAGAACCCCAATGCAGATTACCGGATCAGGTATGCCAATGGAAAGAATTGCCACAGATATACTGTGTGAGCTACCTGAGACTGATAGAGGAAATCGCCACATTTTGGTTGTGTCAGACTATTTCACCAAGTGGACAGAGGCATTCGCTCTGCCAAATATGGAAGCTGAGACGATTGGACGCACTATGGTGGAACAGGTATTTGTCAGATTTGGTATCCCCTTTACCATTCATTCGGACCAAGGTCGACAATATGAGAGCAAGCTCTTTCAAGAGATGTGTCGGTTACTTGGGATTAAAAAGACCCGTACAACACCCTATCACCCGAAGTCAGACGGGATGGTGGAGCGCTTTAACCGCACATTGCTCTCTATGTTAAGCACTTACGTTCAGGAAAATCAACGTGACTGGGATTTGCATCTTCCGTATATACTTATGGCATATCGTTCTACAGAACATGACACCACTAATTTCTCGCCAAACATGCTAATGTTGGGACGAGAAGCGACCACCCCATTAGAGTTGATGTATGAAATGCCTCCAGATATTAAGGATATTCCAACAAGTCAATGGGTTTGGGTGTTGCGTGAACGATTAGAGTCAGCTCATAAGTTGGTCAGAGAAAACATGCAAGGTGAAATGCAGCGCCAGAAAAGGTACCATGATACCAAATTAGCATGGTCATCCTTTAGTCCCGGAGAAAGAGTTTATGTATTCTTCCCTACAAGAAAGAGCGGTTGTTCTCCGAAGTTAACATCGTTTTGGAGAGGGCCTTTCTTAATTGAAGACAAATTGTCAGATATTTTATATAAGGTTGCATGTGGAGCAAAAGGCAAAAGCACTATTATTCACTGCGATCGCTTACGGAAGTGTAAATCACAGATACTTCAAAGAGAGAAGGATATCAGTAATTCCAATAGTCAAAACAATGCGGAAGATGATACTCAAGAGTGTCTTGTAGAAGAAAATGAAGATCAGTATGATATTGCTGAAAACCCTAGCGGTTGTGCTTCAGATAGGCCAAGGCGCATTAGAAATGCACCTGCGTGGCATGACGACTTCATTGTTGAATACAAATTATAAGCTGTCAGTACAACTAAGGATTAGTGTAGCGCAATTTCATTATATGTTTAGTTTTTTTTTAGAATATTTTATACTCAGGATTTTGTTTTTGTGATTTTTGCAGATCATGGCAAACACCAAGACCACTAAAAGAAAAGAGGGTCACCTTTGTCCTATGTGTTCTCAAGAGATTTGGTGAAGAATCAGAGTGGGAGAAACATGTACTTGAGTGTGGGAGATAGCGCAGACAGAAACGGTTTGAATGCAGTCATTGCGACTATGCTACAAATAAGAAGAGCGACATGGTCAGACATTGTAAAACTCGACATGGTGGATTCGCTCAGGTGGACAGTGAGAGTGATTGGGAGCAGTTGGATCCCGGGAATCTATCGGATGTTGTTGGTGAAGCCACAGTGGCTGGGACTTCCCTTCCTTCTTCCGAAGTGACGCAGAGGATACCAACGATACCGGCTCCTGTACACACTCCATAAGTCAAGAGATTATTGAGCAAGCGTTCGTTAGTTCCTGATGCTCCTGCTACATTCCAGCATCCCATGACGACTGTGAAAGAACATGCAGCTCCTTCGGCAACAGTATCAGCGGCATCGTCGACTGATGTCCAGGATTGTAGTGTCGAGGATTCCATCCGTTCAGTTGGTGTCGACAAAGGTACACAGACTCTTCCCACAGAGCAGATGACAGAGGCTACTCAGACTGAAGTGACCAAGAGAAGACGTCTGGATCGGTGTCAGGAAACATATCAAAAGGATGGAAAATCTGTAGTAGAGACCCATGAGGAAGAACTCTGGTTTTAGTGGTTAAAACTGTAGATATGGCAAATAACATTGTAAATTTAAGTAGAGAGCTTAGTATGTTCAAATCTTTATGGAATATGTACATAGTCAGGAAGACTATTGCATGGTGTAAATAATAATGAACATATGTAAAATTGTACGCCTTTAGTTTTTCTTTATTGAGGAATGCGAGACGCATTTCCTGGAGGCGTGGGTAGTGAAGCCAAAACTGTAATCGAGATCATATTATCCTTTCATTTCTCGGTAGTTGCACTGACTTCCGGTTTCTTGGTTCCTTTGGGTTCTCCGCAGGTCATGTGACCTGTTGTAGGTATAAATAAGGAGACAATCGGTTGTTTTAGTCAGTCTGTTGCTGACAGCCGAATTGGAGAGTCTGTTGTTGACGGCTGATGAGAGAAGATCGCCAGAACAGAAGTCAAAGGTGTAAGTACTTCAAGGGAAATCTTGGTGAAATAAAGTCTTACGTGTCTGAAATAGACTTTCGAGGCTTTGGTTTGTTTTTATATTGTACCTTGATACACTTTGACTGAAGATAAGAAGCGGACGCGCTTCAGTCTTTGGAAGGCGCACGCGCTTCCGAGAAACGAAGGCGTTAGTGTATATATTATTAATTTAAATTTGTGATTGAGAAATTTGATTATTCTTTAATTGTTCAGATAGAACAGCCGAATCCCATAAAAGAACCCGAAAACGTTACATTAATAACTCAGTTTTAAGATAATTACAGGATCAAATGTGAGAGCAATTTCAGTTACATGCATTTATCTCAAACGTGTTGGTGATACAGGCCGTTGGATAAACTTATGCTTTATCAACGGGTAGATGCTTTATCAATAGCACTTCCGGTTTTGACACGAACCCTCGCTTCAAGATTTTATTTTATTGAAACTTTTATTTGTGAAAATTGTTGCCCTTATAAAATGAATGATAAAGGGTAGCAATATCGTTAATAGCAAGATGTCAAAGAAGTGTCTTATTTTATCAAGGAACCCGTTGGCTATTTGAAGACAGATGTTACCCCCCCCCCCCCCCTCTTAGATCGTTTTCGGAGAAAGTAAAGCCTACATGTACCAGTTAAGTTGTTGTTATAAGACTCCTTTGACATCTTTAACAATGCTTTCTTATATTATACTACGTATGCCTACCTAGTAATGTAGGTGTAACTTACCATGGATCAGCAAACAATCTAGATGTAATAGTATTAGATTTGTATAATAAAGTTATAGAACTTACCAGGATTCGGTTGCACAAACGTTAGTTAAATTTAACTAGCTGTTAACTTTACGTTAACGCGGCGTTAAATTTAACGGCGAGTTAATTGGGTTGCACGAAAGTTAACTGACAGTTAAACGTTAGTTAAACTTCTCATTTAACTGACAGATTTAATTGAGGTATACAAGGTACATTAAATATTTAACTAATCATTAAAAATCAAAATGGCGAATTTGTTGTTATTTGGGAACGTGTTTGTGGAGAGGAAAGAGAGAAAATACAGAGAGAGAATAGAAATGTCAGACTTGAGTGACACTCAGATCCGATCCCGGTTCAGATTTCGCCGAGATTCGCTGGGTTTTATCTCAAACATGTTGCGAAACGACCTGCAAAGAGCAACAAGGCGAAGTCAGTCCATATCAGTGGAAATGCAGGTACTTTTTTTTTTCTTTGGGGACATGAATTATCATAACAACGATTATTTTTATATTGAATACTAAACATTTCAACAAGTATGTTACGACAGCTCAACCCAAGACTTGAAATAATTTGTACAATACCAAATATAAATTTTAGACATATGTACACAATTTATGAAAGTTTTGTTTATGCTTGTCAAACTTTCCTTTAGATGGAAATACGCACTGTATAAAAATATATATAATTTCATATTTAAAAATACCATATTGATGTAAAAAATCAAAATTTAACAATGTTAAAATGATTAAATTGAACAAAAATATTTCAAAGAAATTAACGCTCATAAAATTACGTCATTTTGATTATGACGTCATTAATTTATGCAAGAATGCCGATACTAGTGATAGCGTAAACACTAAACCGTAGTTAGATTCAACAGAAAAAAATAAATGCAGATTATATCAGGCCTGCTTAACACATATTTACCATATAGAAAATGTTTACCAAAAGTCCGGATAACGTTGACCCAACACTTTTTGTTTCAGTGTAAATAATGGTTATGTAGTATGCGTTGAAAAAAGAATTGTAAATTGCTACTGAAGAAAGTTGGGAGTTGACCCCCCCCCCCCCCAACCTCTGTTACCGACCAACCATTGTGCATAAAAAATAAGCTGAACAGAATTTCGATTTTAAAGCCATATATGGCGTAACTGATCAAAAAATTCATTTTTGAAAAATACAAAATTAAGTAAAGAAATATTGTTAATACATTTAAATTAAAACTTTTCATACTATTCTGAACACGGTGACATTGTTTCATCTATAGTAATACGATTTTATCTTCTCTGTAATGTGTTTTTTTTTTATTTTCTTCTGAGTCCAAATTAAATTGTGATATCTTTATGACGCAATTGACTTAGATTAATTTTGTAATTTACGGAAAAGTTATATCTTTATAAAAGTAGTGATACAAAAAATAAGTTCTTATAATTTTAGTTATTAATAAATAATTTTCATTGTACATACGCCATATATGGCTTTAAAAAGAATCCTTTTTTTTTAGTTTTTCAAGATTTAATTCAGATAAGTAGATCCTTTTTTTCAAAAACAATGTTACATCACTGGTAAACAATCAAAAAATCCTTGTAGGTTATGTTAGCTCTTCGTTTTTATGCCTCTGGAAGTTTTATGGAGGTGATAGGGGATACCATGGGGCTGGATAAGAGTACAGTAAGCAGAACCGTCGATCGTGTTACTGATGCACTCCTTGCACAGAAAGACAGATTTATAAAATGGCCAAGTCAAGAGGAAATTGCAAGATCAAAACAGAATTTCTTTGCAAGGGGAGGATTTCCAGGAGTTTTCGGCTGTATCGATGGGACACACGTCCGAATTCAGGCGCCATCGGAAGATGAGGCCGTCTTTGTTAACCGGAAGGGGTATCATTCCATCAATGTACAGGCTATATGTGACCATGAAGGTACATGAATTTAGTATTCATGCTTAAAAAACACTTCAGCAATATGATTATTGTTGATCAACTTCTCTAGTACAAGATCTGAGTAGGACTCCATCTCACCCCTCCCCCCCCCCCCCCAAAAAAGGGAAAGAAAATCCACATATATTTAATTTTTGAGCAGCGAGGTAAAAAAGAAAATCCGATCTACCAGGGGCTTGTCAAGATAACCCTTCTATACTTCATCAATACTTTATACACACACACACAGACACACACTCACACACCCACCCACACATTTATATATATATATATATATATATATATATATATATATATATTATATATACACGCGCGGGTTTTTTTTCATTCGTATAGAAACCAATTAAGCATAACATGATATTAAACATAAGCTTTCCAAATGAGAAAAAAAAAATCTTTAAGTAATATCCAACAACTTTTAATATTAATTGCTCCCTCCCCCCCCCCCCCCCGCCTTCTTTACATGACTTTGAGAAATTAAAGTAATCCATTTGTGTTAATTTTTCAATCTAAATCTAGTATGCTATGAGGATTTTTTAAAAGCATTTTATATACCATAGAATATTTTGTACTAGGGTTCAAAACATATTTTATGCCATGCTTTTTATACACATACAGGGAAATTCATAAACATTGACGCACGGTGGCCCGGAAGTACCCATGACAGCCACATTTTCCGGACATCTGAGGTCAGCTTATTCTTGGAAGCAAACCATCGTGGTGTTGAGGACGGCTATCTCCTTGGTGATAGCGGCTATGCCTGTTCTAGGTTTCTTATCACCCCGTACCTTCACCCAGCGAATCCTTCTGAGGAAGCCTTTAATGCAGCCCATTGTCGCACACGTAACACCATTGAGCGAGTATTTGGATGGTGGAAAAGAAGGTTCTATGTACTGCATAGCGAAATGAAGATGAAGCCGGCGAAAGTCTGCAGAATAATTGGCGCATGTGCAATTCTGCATAATATTGCATTGTCTCTAAAGGAAGAGATGGAGGACGATGATGAACAAGATGACAACCCTGCAGTTCAGCTGGTTTATCGTGGACCCGAAGATGGAAGGGCAATTAGAAACTTCATCACCAGAACCTATTTCTAAATTGAATCAACAGAAATCATTTTTGGAGTTAAAACTTTTATATATGTAGCTATAGATGAAAAATATATTATATTTAAACACTGTATAATACAACTGCTATTTTCATTCATCAGTGATAGCTTGTAGAGCTAGGAGAGCACTTTCATTCTGAGAGACAGTCTGTTTCAGGCATTCGATCTGTAGCGCCAGCTTGGTGTTTTGTAGCTCGATGTTCTGCTTCTCGAGGTCTGTCCGTTCCAGGTCTTTGACGAGTTTCATGTTCTGTAGTTCAAAGTTTTTTTTCTGACAGCACAAGACCTTGAGAATAAAACAGACTTTTGTTATTTGTCGTTTCTACTTTTTTCACTCATATATACTTATTTATATTATTCAAAAAAATATTTAATCAACATGCACTTGATTATTCAGCCCCTTCTTACCTCATACTGCATCTTCTGAAGTTGCTCAAGGGAGATTTTCCTTCTTTTTGCCGGTGCAGGTGCGGCCGGAGAAATATCGTCTTCGCTATAAATTGGAAAAAAGTAACGAAACTATAAAATCTATCTTATTATTACTGCAATATTTTATCATGAAAAGCCATCAGCAAAGTCATTTCAATTATTCTGCAAGTATCTAATCGCCTTCTCTATGTTTCTATAATATACATGTATGCATGGTCATGGGTGAAGGACGTTTTGAATCAATTTATAAATTAGCCAAACGTAAATTAAGAAATAACTATGGTTTTTATGCATAAAATTATCCCGCAAACCAATCGATTGATCATCGTCATGAAACAAAAAAAAAAATCTGACAATATTCCTTAAATTCACATATATTATGCTCTTGAATACTCCAATCCACGTGCTACAAGCCCCGCTTCTAGCTGTCTCTACCTGTCCCGCATGTTTTTTTTTTTTTACCGCGCCTACCGAAGAACCATGCAGCTACATTATGATTTGTGTAATAATAAAGTTCATTAAGAATTTGTATTTTTTTCTCGACAAAGACAATGGAAATGTTTATAAATTAAAATCTTTGCATGACATTTATCTTTTTAAGCATAAAAAAACGTAGAAAAGTAAATTGTAAGTAGACCTCGATCCACTCCCCTTCTTGTCAACTTTTTTTCTTTTAATCTTGTTGTGTATCATTTAAATATTCGTTCATTTTAAAATTAAAAAAATCGAGAATTTGATTAAATCTGTTATTGCATATCCTCTACCCTTACCCCTACCCCAATTTAAATTCTGTTTTTTGTTGGGTGGGGTGGGGTTGGGGGTGGGGGGTTACTGATTGTGATAGGTTTTATCTCGCGGACTTACGACAAAATTTGAAAATGGTACCTTGCTGGTTCACTCGCTGGTTCACTTGCTGGTTCACTCGCTGGTTCACTTGCTGATTCACTTCTTGATCCACATGCCGTCTGTGTTTGCTGCGTCACTGCTTGCTCCTCGCTTGAATCCTGTGTTGTCGACTCGGATGAGTTACACGAGGTAGTCGAGAAGGACTTCGAAGAGCAGGGTATATCTTATAAAACAGAAGATAGGGACATTTTTGCTGAAATTTTTATTTTAAAATTTCGAGTTTTTTATTGATTCGACCCCCCCCCCCACGTTTACCCTATCATAATTAATATATTTTTTTTGGGGGGGGGGGGGGCTTAAAGAATGCTTGATGGATACTACTTGTAATATAAATATTGTATTAAATCATGTTTTCTGTTAAGGGTAAGAAAGACCCCCCCCCTTGAATTACCAACTCCCCAAAGTGTGTGTAGTATCCAGCACCCTATTTAGTGCCCCACTTATGACGTCATGATTTCTGCATTGTCAATGAGTTTCCACGTTGTTGGGAAACCCACATTCCAAAAAAGGTTTAGCACAAGGATTATACTGTTTTGTGTTCTACAGATTCAACTACATTACTGATATATTTTATCTATGGATTTTACGCATGTTCCATGATTTAGCACTTTTAAAGGATAGCATAGGCCTAGTTGGAGCATCCACTGAGCACAGCTTCACGAAGTAAGTGATTTGCTAAATAAATTTTGAATTCAGGGTTTATAAGGATCAAGAAATCGTACGTAAGGTTTATCTTTTTTAATAAATCAGTCTGTTTACATTGAACATCAATTAGGCTTATCGAGTTTAAGTAAGTTCTAACTTGTAGGCCTAAGCTATCTGAAATATGACGTCATCATTTAATCGGCCGAATGTAAACAAGCATACGTATGTTAACATTTGAAGTCTATGCACTACAGATATTTCAGTTTAATAAAGCTATAAGATATTATATTTCAGAGATATAATAATGAACTTTTTACACATTTATGTCCTTTCTAAGTAAAATTCATCGTTATACCTGTTGTGCCTGGCATGGAGGACTCAAACCCCCCAGCAATCCCCGAGAAATTGGGCCTGTCTTTCATTAATTCAATAATCTTTTCCTCGGCGGCACTAGGGGGTTTGGGTGGGGGTCCACCGCCTGTTTTTCTCGCATGCTTACGGGCCTCCGTGAAGGTCTTCTTTGCCCCCTGTTGAAGATTCCCCCATTTAAACTTCACCTGCTCTATCGACCTACGGTGGACCCCCACCGCATTGATCAGCTCCGTCACCTCCGCCCATTTGCTGTTCTTCTTGGCATTGGTTATCAAATTGCTTTGCTTGGCCTTAAGTATTTCTTCGTTTTTTTCAACGAAATCTGTTAAAACAGAGATTTCGGCCAAAGACCAGTTACTGCTCCTCTCTCTCTTTACACTAGCAGTAGCAGACATTTTTTTTCTCGACGTATGTACGGGGACGCGCGCGTGCAGAACGATTTAACAGAGAGTTAACTAGAAAACGCCAATTAAATGTTAGTTAGCTAATTTATTTTTAATAGACTTTCGAACAACAAATTTTTAACTGTCAGTTACGTAACTCATCGTTAAAAATTTAACGGTTAGTTACGGCACTAACTTGGAATTATTTAACTAACGTTTGTGCAACCGAATCCAGAATATTTATTTTAACTTTTATTTAACTTATTAAAAACTTAGATCCACTCCTTAGTTCTCCCTTACCTGTATTACCTGCACATATTTGTATATATCCCCCAGGGCATTGATCAGGTATTTTGGAAGCGGACATTGTTATTTTGGGTTTTATTGGTCATTGTTTTGAAAGGTCGGATTCTATTGGTTTTCTTGGTTGGTCTGGACTTTTCCCGCTTTGTATGAGTATTCTTTGTTCTATGGGTTGATCAGACCAGACCTTTATTTAGACCTATATACATAGACTTGAGACTGAAGATTTTCCTTCTGTGGTAAGTTACTAATATTTTCTTATTTTAAATGTTTATCCTATAGTATGCAAAAGCTATTTCCATTTGCACTCATTACTAAATTGAATGAATTTGAGAGAAAGTTATTTTATGATGTATATTTATTATTGATTATGAGATCAATATGAAGTATTTTCTACAAGTAATTTGATGTTGATCAGATTATGTGTTTTTATGATGATCAAAGATATTTTTGATTATATTGTTCAAAGTGAGCAACTGGTATATTTTTAATAGATAATATTTTTAAATATTGTATTAAATTACAGATCACCATTCATATAGACATTTGTAATCCATACAATTAATTTCCTGGGAAAGCCTATTCCCATAGAATGGTGAGATTTATATGTTTTTAATCTTTGATACTTTTTATGATTATTTTGGGAGAAATATGTAAAGATTTATATATTCAAGAGTTATCTCCCTTTGATGATAATGTGTAAATTATAGAGGATGATAATCTAGGTATTATCTTCATGTAAAGTAATGATTGAACATGATGTGTGTGATATTTATATTATATTTATTGTTGTTTTATGATATTTACAGGGCTATCTATGTATATTCCATAAGTCACTCCACTGTGAATAAATATATTCAAAGAACCTGACAGGAGTTTGTGTGTCATTGCCATACCTCCTGTTACATAGACAAAGTCTAGGCCCCTAGCCTTGCCTGGCACGATTTGTACTGCCATCGTAAAAAGAGTTGATTTTCACGATCCCCATAGTCCTAACAACTTTCAGTCAGAAGTTCGTTTGATGTAAAGCTCCAGCAATTTTCACATGATGTTTTCAAAGACACAGATAGCAAATATTCTAAATTTTGAACTCGATCTACTTTCTCTCGACGCATGTAAACATCAACGGTGCTACGTCATCAAGTTATACGTCATCAATTTGATTTTGGCAGTCATTCATGTAGTTTCGCAGGGGAAGTCTCAAAGTTTTGTTAAAACGAAAGTCGTATGAGATAAATAGAACATCTATAATTGTGTGATTTGATATTGGCTTTATCCAACTCGTTGAAATGGTGTATATTCGCTCGGCAAGCCTCGCGAATATATACACCATTTCAACTCGTTGGATAAAGCCAATATCAAATCACACAATATAGATATCCTCTATATATTACAATGTAATCTTATAAATATGGATGTCGGGTCCCCAGAACCAACCAGTTCTTTGTTTACAATAAATGTTATAAGTATTTATTATGCTTCCTGTCAGTTTGTCTCTATATAACCCATACCCTACTATTCTCGCATAGTGTTCTATAGAGAATAATACATACCCTTTTCCATATCACATCCTGTATCAGCCCGAGACACCAATATCAGCCAGAGGGCCGAAGGCCCGAGGGCTGATATTGGTCGAGGGCTGATACAGGATGTGATGTGGAAAAGGGTATGTTTTATTATATTTATTACATACTTAGTAATAAAATACAGAACACATTTAGTTGAGAAGTAAATAATCATGCATGGACTTCTTACATACATGTACATAGTCTAATGTCTCATACGATTTGGGTTTGTCTCTACTTCTATTTCAATGCACTTGATCCGTAATTTAAAAATATTCTATAGTATTACATGTATTTGTAAAATAAGATTAACCTTATTTTCAAAAAGTTAAAATTAAGAGAATATGAACCCACCAAAAATTGTGTATGATCACAAGTACTGTTATTGTGGTTTAATTTACTAAGGGTGTGATATTGACGTCACAATAGCCGTATCAGCCCTGCAGGGCTGATATGGATTTGCAGGGCTGATACGGATATCAGCCCCGCAAATCCATATCAGCCCTACAGGGTTGATACGGCTATTGTGACGTCAGCCATATCGCATATGCAAAAAACCTGTATTTATTACTAAGTATGTAATAAAAGGATTTATATAGCGTAAGCATACTATGCCGAAATAGTGCACGGCTTCCATTTTTGAGGAAAATCCGACAACGCCCATACCGGGGAGCGAACTCACGACCCCACGATTGTCAGTCCGACGCGCTACCGATTACGCCACAGACGCCGTTATCAATAGTATTGTACTATAATATATATAAAATTAGTTTCAAATATTTTACACTTAAGATTAAAAATAAACAGAAAAATTCTTCTAAAATAGTTCCCTGCAACCCCCCTTCCTTCACTCAAATAATATTCTCTAACACTATATGTAGATTATACCTACAGCATGGAACGATCAAAATTTAAGAAAAAGATTATGACGTACATGTTGCATTAGGTGACGTCATAATAGAATAGATGAATGTTACAGGTGATGAAACACTGGGAAAGAAGAAAATATTGCCGTTTTTATACAGTAACAACAGTCAGCATAATAATAACAATAGTGTTGTGTTTTGCGTGCACTATGCCTAAATAGTAGTCAGGGTTTGACACATAGTGCACTCGCCTCCGGCTCGTGCACCATGTGTCAAACTCTGACTACTTTAGGCATAGTGCACGCAAAACACAACACTATTATATAAATATAGATATGGCACGCCAAATTCACAAAAAGGAAAAAATCATAGTTTCACAGTCGATAAACTAGGTTTACGACGTTTAGTTAACGACGTTAATCTATATTTTACATCTGTAAACTATAGTTAACGCGATAATCGATGTTTCACAACCGTAAACTATACTTAACACAATCATTTGCGATTGCAAAACATACGTTATCTGATAAATACAGTTTCAAGATTGTAAACTATAGCTTACAACTCTTAACTATAATTAACGATCGTAAATTATAGTTTACCGACGTGAATCTATGTTTATCAACAAAATCTATAGAAATTACCTTTTCAGCCTTTAATTACAACCGTAATAATTTTTGAACAATTTCATGCGTATTTTTTCCAAAAAAAAAATTTTTAGTTGAAATATTGAACATTATTTTTACAGACTCAAAATTAAAATCCACAGTCATATAAGACCATGAAAAACACATTAGCTCAAGTTTTCTTTCCAACTGGCGTCACATTTTTTCGTAAAAGTATATGTCTCTCACATCCTATGACTAACACTTTATTAATGAAAAAATGCCAGCTATGGTACTTTTCTGACCAATTATTATACCCCGTGCCAAAATGTTACGGGGGGGGGGGGGTACAGGCACGTAGCAGCTCGTGGAAGCGCTCCCCACACTTTTTTCCAAACATCTCTTTACTTTTAAATCATCTTCATTGAAAGACCACTGATAGCTTCCTCCCCCTTTCTGTTACAGTAAAGCCAAGCAAGGGTAAAGTCGTCTTGTATAAATAAAATTTGGTACTGAAGGAAGTGGGACCTACATTCCCCTCCTCCAACTAAATACGAGTTTCGTTTTTTTTTCTCTGACTTGCCCCCCCCCCCTTTCAAAAATGATGGTACGTCACTATTATATTTAATACTATTGACATGTATGTAAGGGAAGACATTCTTATTCTACTTTTTTTTATTTTAATAAGAGGAGGCATTGACTTGTTAAATAATATTGCAAGGATAAATAATCTATAAAATACATGTTATATCCGTAAAAAATACATTTTGTTGAACAATTAAATTCAGCTTTGACGAATTGTATTAAATTATCTGCTATTCTTTATTTAATTATTGGATATTGTTTGTTAATCAATTGTTTGTCCTGTTCAAACCAGATATACAGGGAATATACTGTTTTCCCCGCCATATTTATACAAACACTATTCAACACGAGATGTTTTATTTAGATCACTAGAGTTCAATCAGTGAGCATGCGCATATTTAACACTAGTGCGACACGGGTTGTCTTAATCGAATACACTCTAAAAGTAGCGACGGCGTCACGTGATGGATTTATTTAAAAATAGCTATTTTTCTTTCCTTGTAGGATAATAAATAATTATAATTTGATAACTTTGTAACGCGTTTAATCTTAATGGTGTAATTAAGGTCTTCCGTCTTCACGGAAGACCTTATAGTGATTCTATTGTTTCTTATTATTATTAAGGTCTTCCGTCTTCACGGAAGACCTTATAGTTATTGCTCTGTTTCTTATTATTATTATTATTATTATTTTTCTGACACGATTTCTCGACAACTACTGGATAGAATTACATGAAATTTTCAGGAAAGATGTGTTGTAAGATACTCTTGAAAGTTCCTAGACAGTTTTTGGAAATTCCTCTCTGGTGCCAAGTTTTGGACCATTTTCCTGATTTTAAAACGACATTTTGTCCACGATTAAACTCAAAAACGGTAAAAGATATCAATGTGAAACTTTCAGAGTTTATAGATGATGATCAATACTTTCCAGGACGCAACTTTTTGTTCGTTGTCAGTACTTCCTGTCGCTACCGGAAGCCAATTCAAAAAGTCCAAATTTTCAACTTTCTTTGTTTTTCAATATTTTTCATTTATTTTTGAAATATTAATAGAGACACTTCTATTGATGCTTACTATATAAGTTGTTTTAATATTGGTTAATCTGAGCTCTAGATATTAATATTTGAAAATCTGAAGCGGGCCCAAGATGGCGGCTGTCTCTGTCAACTCCGACATTTCGCGAGTAGGGGCTTATGGAGGCAGCTGAGCGTTTGATTAAACCATTCTGACATAAGGATACATGAAATGCAAAAAACTACTTGGACTCTCACGTAGAAGTACGTTGCAATTCAGTGTCAATCACTGCTTTAGTGTTACTGGGCTAGATACGGTATGTAATGTGTACAATGTGTTAAATATACTTTCCTAACGCCGAAATAAAATAAAGGTGATAAGAATGTTTTATTTAATTAATTTCATTGAAGCTATTGCACCTCTTTAATAGATCAGTACAAAGAAAAGGTGCGAATATTTACGCGTGGCGTATGACACGAAATTATGAATAGTGTCCCGCCTTTTATGATTCTTAGACAGGTGTACTGTTGCAAAAGTATACACAAGTATATTTAAAGCAGTATTCCCAATAGCTAAATGGTTCGCGCGTTGGGGAGAAAATAGAAAAAAGGCGCTTTCACGTTGGCGACCTGGATTCACTCCTCCTTGTGATCAAAATTTTTAATCACTTTTTAGTTCGATTTTACAAGTTTTTTTCCTGAATCGGACGGAAGACCTCTCGTTGCTCGCAACGAGATCGTATCTAGTTATTATTATTATTATTATTTTTCCGTACACCGAATTTTGTGCACGCGATTTCTCGAAGACTACTGGGTGGATTTTCATGTAATTTACAGAAATTATGTGTTATTATCTGAAGTTATTTTTTCCGAGAGATTTTTTGAAAATTCTCTTCTGGTGCCAAGTTACGGGACATTTTCTGAATTTAAAATGAGATTTTGTCTACGGTTAATCTCAAGAACGGTAGAAGATATAAATGTGAAACTTTCAGGGATTATAGATCGTGATATATACTATCCAGGACGCGACCTTTCGTTCGTCGTCGTTACTTCCTGTCGTTAGGAGAAACGAATTAAAAAAATTGTATTTTCTAACTTTTTTGTTTTTCTATATTTTTTATTTATTTTTGGAATACTAATAGAGACCCTTCTATTGATGCTCACTATATAAGTTGTTTGAATATTGGTTAATCTGAACTCTAGATATTAATATTTGAAAATCTGAAGCGGGCCCAAGATGGCGTCTGCCTCTGTCAACTCCGCCATTTCTCCAGTAGGGGTTTATGGAGGCAACTGAGCGTTTGATTAAACCATTCAGACATAAGGATACATGAAATATAAAAAACTACTTGGACTTTCACGTAGTAGTACGTTGTAATTACGTGTCAATCTTAAAACTTAATTTTTCGTTTCACTGCTTTAGTTTAACTGGGCTAAATACGATATGTAATGTGTACAATGTGTTTAATATACTTTCTTAACGTCGAAATAAAATAAAGGCCATAAGAACGTTTTATTTATTCAATTTCATTGAAGCTATCACACTTATTTAATAGATCAGTCCAAAGAAAAGGCGCGAATATTTACTCGTGGCGTTTGGTGCGTAATTATCAATAGTGGCCCGCCTTTTGTAATTCTTAGACAGGTGTACTGTTGCAAATTTATACACAAGTATATTTAGAGCAGTGCTCCCAATAGCTTAATGGTTTGCGTGTTAATAGATCACGTAGTAATTACGTTACAATTCTGTGTCAAACTAAAGATTTATTCCAGGGTCTTCTCAAATGTCTTCTGTAACTGGTTTTGGTTGGTTCTCAAAGTAGAAAAAGAAAAGACTAAGTGTGCAAATGAGAGATACCTATATTATCATTTGTTTTGCAAGACGGAAAAACAGATCTTAAATCATAGTTAAAAGTTATAGTTTTTCAAGAAACAATATCGATGCATGTATAGAGTAAGTATAAAACGTATAACCACTGTTTTTCCCATGCACACTTGTGTGATATTAAACGAATAGAAAAGACAGAAATAAGAAAACCATTTTAATAAAATCGTCTAATGGAGTTTATATTAACATTCTTTTCTCAAAGATCTGAATCAAGTTATTGAACATAAATGGTATCTGATTCCTTGACTGTCGTAGAGCGAGGCATGTTTTTCGGCGAAACATTTCAACCTTTTTATGAAAGTATAACTAATCGGCATAGTACATTTCTGAGAGGCATAGTACATTTCTGAGACGGGAAATAAAAAAAAAATTAAATTATAGTCATTTCACTGCTTTTGTGTTACTTTTCTATAGAATGTGTTTTATGTGTTAAAAATATTTTCTAAACCTTGAAATGTAGGCTATGAGAACATTCTTTTTTCTTAATTTCATTGAAGCTATCACACCTATTTAATAGATCAGTCCAATGAAAAGGCGCGAAGATTTAACGTGGCGTTTGGCGCGAAATTATGAATAATGGCCTGTCTTTTATAATTCTTAGACAGGTGTACTGTAGCAAAAGTATACACAAGTACATTTAGAGCAGTACTCCCAATAGGGTAATGGTTAGCGCTTTGGGGATAAAAGGGGGAAAAGCAGATTGGATTTTCACGCTGGCGACCTGGATTCAATTTGTGACCAAAATTTTTAATCACTTCTCAGCTCGACTTTACGAGTTTTTTTTCCAGAATCGGACGGAAGACCTCTCGTTGCTCGCAACGAGATCGTTTCTAGTTAACAGTATTTTCGTAACTTTTATTGAAAAACAAATTATATCAATTTCCAATCGTATTTTAACTGGTGCAAGTTATAGCGTGTATACTTTTAAGGATCAAAGCGTTAAAATATACTTTTCATTATTTTTTTCCAAATACAAGGTAGAACGTTTGAACTGCTGATAAATAAGTTTTAAAATATTTTTTTTATGCTACCGGAGCAAATATATATCTATGAAGATAATGAGTTGAAAGGAAAAAAATCAAATGAATGTCCCTCTCTGGTACCCCTTTAGTTTTTCGATTGTTAGAGGTACCTGTCCTATTTTTATTTATAGTTCTGAAAATAATTTCACCTCTGTCATTTGTTCATTATTTTGCCAGATTTGGGAAACTTTTAAGAATTCTTTTTCTTCTCTATTGGAAGAGATGTTTCAAGATTCATTTTTTAGCATTAAAGCATTTCGGAACAAAACATTATGGAAGATGCACCGATGTTTCAATGTTTACGTGATTGATGTAAATGTTGAGAATGCTGGAGCGGATCTCATACAGAAAAACGATTTCCTTTCCAACATTTTGATAAAACCCTCGTGTCTTACACCTAACTTTCACGTTGTCTCGTATTAGTATATCAAAATTACATTTATTCATCCGCATTCGATATTTAAAAAAAACACTAAAATGTCTATGCTTCGATTAACATTACATGTTGGAAATAAATCGATTAGAGACGTATATATAGGGAAATAGCTAGATGTAGCAATGAAACGGGGTCTCAAATTCTAAATAGGTCTACATTTAAATTAACAGTGGACTAGAAGAGTCAACTTGAAAAGTCAGAATTAAGTATAAATAAATGAAATAAAATTACAATGTTCAAGAACCAATATAAAAGCTGGACTTGTAAAAACGTAAATTATGTTATGACGTTATCACTCTGTTCTACAAAAATTGCCATAGGGATCTTTTGTTGTGGTGGCAGTAAAATGTGTTTTGAAATAATATATTCCATACACAAGTTTTTTTTTTTAAATTAATCATTCTTTAACATTTTGATCAGTTTCTCCCAAAAGTCATCAAAAGCACAGGATTCTTCGGGATATTCAATAAAACAGTCCTTCTTCACAAGACTCATCACTTTACTGGGATATCCACTGTTGTACACTTCCGGTAACAAGATCAAAATAACAAAATCTGTGTTTCCACGATCCTTGATTTCCTCCACTTTAGCCATGTTGAGCTCATAGTCACGCCATTTTGATTTTAAATATCTTTTGGAAACAATACAAAGAACCTTTTTACTTTCATGAATTCCAGTCATAATAGAATCCACTTTAGACAAGCCTGGGAGATAATCCCTGTCTCTTACAAGAAGTCGTAATCCAGCGTTGGTTTCAAGCCGGGGTATGACATCTCTCCGTACAAATGTTCTCTCCATGCCAGCATAAGATAGGAAGACATCATATTCATAGTTTAAATCAGTAGAATTATAAACATTATGTTTGTTCCCAACTCGGAATTTTAGTTTAGTTTTGTAAATAACATAACGAATCTTCCACCTGTTCCTAACCAACAAAACTCCTGTTAACAAGCTTATACATACAGCAAGTGAAACAGAGCCTGCTATATACCAAGTCAAAAATGATCTACAGTTCTTCTCTAAAATAGAAATGGACCGATCCAGATTTTCAAATGAAAATTTCAGTTTTTCTGGCGAGCACTGATATTGCTGAATATTTACAAAATTGGCTCTATTGATCCTTAACCAATTAAGAAATTTTTCATTATCACAGGAACAGCCTAACAAATTACCGGAAAGATCTACGATTAACTTAGATCTTTGAAAGGCATTCTCCAAATGTTCGCGCGTTTTTTCATCAAAAGATCTTATCCGATTATCTGATAGGTCCATCAATAATAAATTTGTCATATGATCAATTTTTAAATTCCATCTTGATATCTGGTTGTCACTAATATTTAAATATTTTAACCTCGAAGAATTTTTCAGCAGCAAGTTTGGAAGTTTGGAAATTCTACAGAACGAAATGTCTAAGTTCTCCAGGGATAAAAAAGACTTGAACGTTTCTCCCAATACATCCTTCTGCAGATCTTTGCCAATGTCATTGTGGGATACATTTAAATTCAGGACTTGTCCTCCATCATTAATTATGTATGGGGAAAAATGGGAGATAAAATTGTTGGAAATGTCCAATGTTATTTTGGTATTCGTATGTTGAAAATAGAGAGGGCCTTCCAAATAGTACACGAAATTATTCCGTAAATTTATAATGCGAAGACTCGGTGCAGAGATAAACTTTTTATTAACCTGCCAATAAAGTCGACTAGAGTAAGCATATATTTCTTCAAGATTTCTTGGAAACATAACAGTCACGTTCGTACTAGTCCCGATGTCTTTGGGAGTTTGGTGATTTGTTACTTCTTGGCAACTGGAAAGAACATCGTTACAAAATTCAGTCTTTTCTCTACAATCATTTCCAATACCATCAAAGTCCCTTGGTGGATACTTCTGAAAGCTCACATTATATACTCGCAAATTCTCAAGCGTGCTAAATTCTAGATAATATTGCCCAGTTGTCAATTTGTTTTCGGCCACCGATAATATCCTTAAGGGTTTTGGAAGATTTCGTAAAACTCCACGAGCAAAATTTTCCAATCGGTTACTGGCAACATTTAATTCGGTAAGGTTAGTGTCTTTGAGAGAAAGAAGATGATGACATTTTATTTCTGTTCCAACTCCAGCTCCACAATTAATTCCATTAATATTTAAAGATTTTATCCTAGTTTTGTTCAAATTATATGTTACATTTGGCAGGGACGCAAACCCTAGCTGGCGATTGTAGGAAATATTAAGATGTTGTAATTCTAGCATGTTGCTGAATGCTCCCTTATCAATATCCTTTACATTGCAGTAGGATATATCCAAAACCTCAAGGAATGGAACATTTTTAAACATTTGCGAATCAATATGATTGAGATTACAAGTTCCTACATTTCCCGACATATCTAAAACTTTAAGATTCCTTAAACGCAAGAAACTCTTTCCAAATTTTGTACTTGCTATCCCATTCATTTTTATTATTGAAAGAAAGGATAAATTTGCAAAACCATCTCCTGGAAAGGCCATGTTATATTGATTGCCACTGTTTCCTTTTATGTTCAGTACTTCTAACGCCGACAGTCCTTTAAAAAGGTTCTCGAAATTTGAATATTTTAACTGATTTCCCTCTAGGTTCAGAAACCGAAGTCTTGCTAAATGTTCGAACGGATTTCCATCAACAGTCGTAAAGTTATTATCAGATAGGTCGAGAGATATAATCTTTTCTGGAAGTTTTATACTCTTTGACTCGATAGTCCTGATCTTGTTTTTACTGAGGTCTAACCAAGTGATGCTGTCATTCATAACTGGTATTGCAGTAAGATTCCGTTGTGAACAATCCACACGAATTCCATTCTCGTATGAAAAACAATCACACTCAATACTACTAAACCGACAAGAAACAGTCTTCCCCACAACCATTTGCAAAACGGCTATTAATATGGTCACGGAAAACCATATAAGATTTTGTACTCTGTTATTCATAGTAAGAAAATTCCGTAACTTCTCTGTGTTTTAAGAGTATAAACTAAGTGATATATTACTATAATTCTGTAACTTAACCGTAAAAGATGTTTATATGGATGGAAAAAAAAATCATCAAGGAAGCTTAAATTATGTAATGTTGTACAAGTAGTGCGAACACTTCATTTTGTGAAAGTTTTAAGAGCCATTCTCTGTAATGATTTGAAATTTTATATAGGAGCTGTGGCACGCATAGTCTCAGAATTTCTCCAAACTCTCTATGATAAAAGTCATTGATGCCCTAAACTGAAATCAGGCAAAGATTGGTTGCTATGTTTTATAGTTACCATGGCAACATGTCTTAAAGTTCGAAAAATGGCATTTTTTAACATGTTTAGAGCCCCATAGTTAACATTTGCGGCAAAGCAAATAATTGGCAATGACTGTTTCCAAAAGTTGAAGGTCAGATGTCTCAAATGCATGATAAACATGTTCGGTAAATCAACTATTACATACGTTACTATGGTAACAAAGTATTCAAAAGTAAAAAAAATATTCATTGAATTTTATAAAGTCATACACGTAAAAATAAAAAGCAATTATAGGATGAAATGTGACCAAATAATAGAAAAAAGAGCCTTGAAACATATACAAAGAACAAAATATGATTTTCATTTTGGTTGGCAATGGTTGCCAAGGTTTTTATACCACAGAGAGCCTTCAAAGTAACACTATGTATGTTTAAATCTGATCCTATCTTTTAAAAAAAGCACATTTCCTCATAACTAATGACCAATTTTATAAGATGTTAGTGTGCTCCAAGTTTTCCCATTTGAAAAAATTCAGATTAAATTCTTTAAATAGAGCGTTGCTATGGAAATAAGCAGAAAATATATGCTTAAAAACCTGAAAAATATTTTCTTTCCTTGGATACGTACCCTTAAATGTAGATTCCCAAAACTTTTATGATTGATATTTATTAACAGCTAACTTGACTTTTAATTTTGACTATCATCCAATCTCTAAGTGGATGCAAGAAGCTGGCAAACAGGGTTTAATGTTGATATAAAGTTAAAAAAATCAGACATTTTCCCTTCTTGGTAACCATAGCAACAGTGTTGTTTTATTCATCAAATTTTATCAATATGTGATATTCAACTTCAGTTCTAACAGACAAGTACTACTCAAGCTGACTCCTTTAATTTGTTTCTTGATTAAATGGCAATTTAATTCTTAATGCAGCGAAAAATAATTCACTTTTAAGCACTGGTACTTTGTTTCCATGGTAACACTACAAAGTAGCAATTATACCCAATTTTTGTTATAGTTTTGGTGTTGCAAGGTCCTTAATGATGCATATTTGCCAGTCTTGAATTTTCATGTTTTTCCTCAAGACAGTAGCATTAACCCAAACTTAGTTACTGGTTTTGCATGGTTACACTGTGTTACCATGGCAACCATAAAAGTTGTTTATAGAATAATATTGCTTATACTTATAAACTTAAGGTCAAACATTTTCATTGTTTTTCTTAAGTCGTTGATTGAGTTTGAGCATGTAACACCTACCATTAGTGAATACGGAGTGTTTTTCAGCACATTTCAGCATTTTAAATGTATTCCAAATGTACCCTTGGTTACCACTTACTTAGAGATATATTCTAAACAGTTTCTTTACAGTATAAGTGACATCAAGGTGTCATGTTTTTGTGAGAATGCTTTGTTTGCTTTTTCTAGTTTTTATTAAGCCACAGTCAAGACTTAAAGTGGCTGAAAATCTCGATTTTTCAAACTTTTCCGGCTGTTGCCATAGCAACCGAGACACATAGCAACGAAATTTTGTTTGATATTTGTTTCTGGTGTCAAGTACTAAGCAAGGGTGAAGTTTCATCAAAATCGGTGACCATGCGTGGCAACGAAGTTTAAGTGGTTACAGAGAATGGCTATTAATTTGATTTCATTTTCATAATTTTATCACAAAGGATTTATATTTGATTGAGATGTGTGTAAAATTAAAATGTGATTCGTAGAAAAAACGCTGAGGACAATTAGATATTACTCATATATAAGAGATAAAACAACAAAAAATGTTTGCTGTATTTGTATCTCTTTCAGCAATGTCAATACTAGTATTGACATTGCTGAAAGAGATACAAATACAGCAAACATTTTTTGTTGTTACAGTAATACGTTATTCAGTGTTTACTAGAACTAAAATAACTATTCTTTGTGTAATGAATGGGTAGACCTTAATATGCATTTTTCCCTACGATTATTTATTTTTTTAATGGAAGACTTGAGGAAGAAAATAGTTCAGACTTAATTTTGCAAGTGAAAACCGAGTAAGAACAGTCAGGGTTTACTGATGCAAAATATTTTCGTTGAATCACTTTCCAATGAAATGGCAATTCACACTCACAAACATTGTACTTGTAGCAAGAAACAGGATAGGACTACTTATGATTACAATTACTTGGAGAATCATCTCTAGATTTAAATGTCGATGACTAAGCACAAAAAGAGGAAACTCACTAATGGCAAAATGTTACAAAACCGATGAATCGTCATTTTGTGGACAGAAAAATTATAAATTTGATTACTTAAGAGAAGGTGTAAATAATTCATACTAAAAGATATAGGCAGACAAAAAAGGAATTATCAACAATTAATTACGAGAGAAACCACAAGATATACTAAGATAAGGTAACCATGTGTTTTTCAAATTAAGGAGTTTACTTTGAAACTATTTCTATTATTATTCCGGCAGATGTCCAAGAGAAATGCGTAGAAAATTGTTGCTTTATTTTATATATGTACCTTTTAATTTCCTTTTTATTACTGTACCGGAATCAAAAATAAACATAGATTGTCTACTCATAATTCTGCATCATCTTTTTCTAAATATAAATATCAAAGAATTCTGTACGATGAAATTCCTTACCTGGCCGTCTGTTAATAGTGATTTACTGTCACTGAATAAATATGCAAATTGTGAAATAAAAATAATCTTTGCGGTAACAATTATTTATTTTATTTATTTACGTTTCTTTGGTTATTTCACTATTTTCGATGAAAAGGATGTTTGTATGATCTGTCTTTAGATTAAGATAAGATATCAAAAACTTCTAATGAGTTTAATCTGTTTTTTATTTGCAAATTATTTTTTTCATTTTAAAATACTTTTTTATTAGTCCTTCTCCCTCTCGTGTCTTTATAAAAAGAGTTTAAAAACAATTTTTAATTTTCTTTTGAAACCTAATTTCTATCAATGATAATGAAGAAGGTAGAGTTTTGGCTTTATTGTGCCCGAAAAAAAATCATTAGTTAATCCTGCTATAATATTGTTAACGTCCTTTAACGTTTTTAATTTACCTGTTTTTTATCAGTTGGTTTTGTGACAGGAAAGATGTTTGATAACATAGACGAATGTTTGAATGCAAAGATTTCTTTGTCTTTAATTAAAGCGAATGTCACAATAGAAAAGAGGGAAACCCATGTGTTCTTCATTTTCTATCAGGAAATTAGATGAAGAAATGCTCAGACTTCAATATTGTTCAAAGTACATTACGCCACACACGTATGATGTCCTAATTCTCTATGGTGCTTACTCAAAGTTCACCTGCATCTGAAATTTACAAAAAAATTGAAAACAACGACTTGAATCAATGTAAAGAAGTATACTTTGTTTTGTAAAAAAAATGGCAGTCAAAAGTATGTAAAAGAACATGACAGATCTTATGAAACATGAGGAAGAAGTGAAAATAAATACCACGTATTAACTTCATTGCAACGTCAGTAACCATAGGTACTTGTGGATAGGACCCCCTCCGCATATTCAACTCCGGGGCGTTCTTGACATCTTTTCACAAATTATTTTTATTACACTTATTTATCATAATTTTTTACAATGGAAAAAAATCGTCAAAACCCCAAAATAATCGCTCCACAAAACAATACTCCACAATACATTATAAGGGAGAAAGGTATGCCACTCCGGTTTGTTTATGTTGTACCCCCACTGGTCTTTCTGTGTATAAAAACATTTCTTTATTTTATTTCAACCTAAAATATCGATTCACACCAGGCTTGGGGCGAATTACATTGTAAAGTAATGCATTACATTACCATTACTTCTACAATTTGGGCATTAAATTACCATTACCATTACACTATTTTCTTAAAGTAATGCATTACCATTACCATTACTTTTGGGGGTTTTTAAACATAGAAATTAATACAAAACGTTGGTTTTTTTTCATAAGTATGTATCCACCCACTTCAAAACTAAACTTGATAAATAATAATTCAAATTTGATATTAAGTTTTTGTATATATTACATTGTAAATTACTTACATTCACAGAAAATTCAAACTTTTAAATTGTCAGTGATACAAAACATGCACAATATCCACTTTTTGTTTAACTTTTGATGTCATGAAGCAATTTAACTTTTGGGGCACTTTAACCCCTAGCTGCCTAAAATATCTAATAATTAAGCATATAGGCTATTTTGATTAGTACCTTATGAAAAACAATGCATTGACAAACGTTTTGAAAAAGTAAAAAGGATGTAAATTTTGATCTGCTAATCATATAATGCCAGCATGTCTTCTATTTTCTTTCATACAATGAAATTTTTATGGTCAGTACAAGCTTAGACCAGCTTAATTAATGTTTTATAAACACATTCAGGAGAAAAATCAGGGACTGGTAATTTGGAGCATTTCTCCAAACAATGCATGGTTTTAATTACCCAGAGGCGTAGTGTGTTTTGATTACCAGTTTACCAGTTTATTAACATCTCTTTGGTTGTTATTTAACAACACAGAGATCAATACATATTAATATAACATATATACATACATGCGTGAGCATAACATATAACATATATACAAAGTGTGTTTATAATCAAGTATTTCCATATATGTTTACATTGATGTTAACCTGGAGGTTTGACTCTCTCGTTTAAAATTTTAATAAAAGAACAGAGTT